TTAATGAGTGAAATCCTTCATCAAGCTGGAGTGTTAGCTACGTTCATGCCCATGCCATGCTGCTTTTTTGCTCAAAGCTCAAAATATCAGACCACACAAAGGTAGAAATTGACGCTTTTAAAGACAATGAACACTAAGGTAAGGTACGGCTCAGATTTTTTTGCCACTGAAAAGTACAAAATAGTGAAAATGGAAAACAAATAGCATAAAAACTGAACACCGGTTATAGCAGAGGTACGGCAAGTGCTTCTCATTAACGGTACCTCCTGTAGTGTCTACCCCCCCCGGGTTAGTGAATTTGTATGGCCAGAGAGTACAAGACGTTTGATCAGGCTATCACTATCCCCAATCAACACCATGGATTTATTTCACTGGTACACAACCTTTGTTAGGCCTATATGACCAATCCATGGCATTGTGATCACCGCACCTCTTTGAACTTACTTCTAAAACTTGAGGAAAGCTTGTTCTTGTTGGGAGGTAGTTGTTTTGAGGGTGCCGTCTGGTTGAATCCACTTATCAAGATAATGAGACCTACATGTACTGACCTAGTGTGGTTTCTTTTCCCTCTTTCCTCGTCCCCCCCCCCCACGAAGCACGAAACAAGGTTCATCGTGACGTATGCCAACTGCAAGTACGTACATCCTGGTAGATGAGCATATGTCATATGCGACTGTTTGACACACTAAGGCCATGGAGATCACCCGCAAGATTTAGGAAAAAAAGACATCAAAAAATCGGAAAACGATACAGGTCAGAGGAAAGTGAAGGAAGAAAAGAAGAAGAGGTCAGATGTTAAATTATGACAAGAGTTCAGTAATCATAAACATTGCCCCTGTGTGCGTTAGAACTTCCCCCCCCCAACTTGTCGAATTTCCTGCTTTGGGCTGGGTTTGGAATTTCCATCTCACCCCTCACAGCCATTTAATGGCATCAGGTATATGGTTCTGCTACCTAGATAGTTGTGATTTTCTTTAAAAAAATATTCTAAACGTCCCCCGTGCATAGTCTTCCCTAGTTACGGCTGTTTGCTAACGCGAATTGTTAAACTAAATTGACACCAAGTTTGCTTGCCAGTTTACATTAAATCTAATACATGTATGCCAATACTAAAGATTGTCTGCAACTGGATTTTGTTAGCTGCAACTTCTTGATCTATTTAAAGCTGTAAATATATGAACAGATTGGTAGAGACTATTTACCAGTTATCTGCGATTGACTGACATTGTTTTAGTATCAGATGTGACAGCCTACTGTAACCAGGCCTGGTTGAATCTGTGCGTGTTTGATTTCTTTTTGGTGTGTAACTTTAATTTTTGAGCAAAGTATCTGTAGGCATCAAATGTTGCAAGAGACTTAAATTACGTAACCAGTAATAACAAAGAAAATGACCAGAAAACAACCATTACCATCCCTTTTTATCAAATCACCCACTTGCACTTTTGGTTCAGAAAATTATACATTTACGATCGTTCTGGGTTCGGTAAAATATCTTTTAAATGGACTCTGCTCGTTGACTTATTTTATATTTTTACATTTTTTTACATGTACTACGTACATGTAAATCTATCTAAGTATACCTTGGGGGCAAGTTGTCATTACGTTTGGATAGACGCCGGTCGTAAGTTGCTTTATTTGCCTACAGAGACTTTACCATAAAACACTCAAGGTCAGTCAATTTACGTAGAACACATGGGACAATGCACACATTACCCAAGAACAGCTACAAAACTACAATTTGTCAAGCCATTATAGCTCCCTGCATTGTACTCTCGCAATTTCGGAAAATGAAAGGAAGTCGGGTAGAAATCCATTTCGCAACAAAATTGCCTATCTTGAATCATATGCCCACGATGGTCTATCTGCGAAATAGTTAACGCTGACTGTAATGGGTTCGTGATAAAGTCACTAATATGGCAATTGATGGACTTCGTATTTACCGTCAGTCTCTCATTTATTTCAAGGCAACAGGGGTACCACGAGTAACCGTATAATCACCCATGGAGGAAGGACACATGAATCACCAGACTTCTCGTATCAGTTGTCTGGCATTTGTTGTTGACAGACATTGCGAGGATGCTCAAAATCGAGTATCTTCACAACTCGGTTCTTATTTTCATAATCCGAAACAAAGACTCCATTTTAGTTACCAATGTTTTAGGATGATGAAATAAGGTGACCCGTCCGAGGAGGCATTACTCAGAAGTCTGGATATGATTGAAAGAAAGGAGTCTTGCTCTGAATTCCTGCGGCATCACTCTCTGCGTTTCAATAATGAAATAACCTTCAAGATCTAAGTAATATAGTACAATAGAAAGTTATGTCTTCGTTCAAAGATACAGGTTATTGGTTATTCGAAAACAAAAGTCAGCGAAATGTTTTTCGCCATGGAAGAATCGTCCCATGAAGCTGAAGATCAACGGTTGATCCGTTGAACCGCAATACACCTTGGACCGAGATTTGGAATATGTGTTTAGTTGGAGTTACCGCTGGCGTTGATCTGCTTCTCTACGAAGATAGAGAGACGATATGATCTCCCACAATATCCCCTGCGGGATCGGCTTGTTGCATGGTGTAGCGGCAGGGCGTAGGAGGAAAGAAAGATGATTAGATTATTGGACATTTCACCAGCAGGTGTACTGACATGATCATGAACACTTGTTCCTTACAAAAAAAATTAAACAAAGCCAACAAAAGAGCCTAAAACGTGACCCCTGATGGCGCGCTTCTGGAACCCTTGGATAGGAAAAACAACGTGCAAAGATTTTAAAATTTGAAATTTTTTTTCGTTCAGTTACTTCTTTAAAAATCCAACTCGGAAAAGGGGCTTTGGAAAATATTTACTAGTGTATCAATTTATAGAAACTGAAACATCACCTGGCCTAAAAAAGAAATATCCTCCCCAGAATCGACCCATCACTTCTGAAGATCTAAAATACATGAAGAACAGTGCAGTGAGGCAGTCTTGTACGCAGATGAATATTTACGGTTTTAAATTTTATGGTAGTCCGTCGGTAAAAGCCGAAATAAAAAAGCAGATCAAAATGTTTTACACTTTTATAATTTATAAGTAATAAACTTAAAGCAACATTCTACTTCCATTACGAAAGATTTTAATCTTTTATCTAACCTTTGCTGACAACAACTGCATGATGTCAACTCAACGGAATCTGGAACCCATCGACTGCAAGTACATGTAGGTAAATCTTTTCAACATTGTACAATCTCGTTTTCACGTAAGCACGGGCAGTGAAAACAAACGTGCATGGAGACCTAAGTACGATATCGATTCGTTTTTAACCTATCTCCATGTGACTTTTCCTAAATATTACTTGAGGAAGAAAAAAGTCAAATTCCAACATGAGTATTTCATGGGGTGGTTTCAGTTAGGAATTATTCTTCCAAAAATTATAGAACGTGATAGGACGGCCCAACGTAAAATCCCCATAGGAGGACCGCGCGAGGGTTGCGGAAGCTCGCTGCGTGACCTTTAACTTTCAGGTTCTATACTCGGCTTATTTAAAATGTATCAGTAATCAGTTTTGCAAGTAAGGATTAATTTCTTTGTAAAAAAATCAGTAGAGATTCATAGGCATGATCTGTGGGTGGTATGAAATATATCCTTCATTGTTTAGTTGGGTAACTTACTTGTCATTTAGTAATCTTCCTATTTGGGGGGTGACGAGACCCCCCCCCAAAAAAATAAGGACTTTCAAACTTTCTAGCTGTAAAAATGAGGAATAAACGGTACAACAGTTTTTACATGCTCCATTTTTTTGCAACTTGGAACAGTAGACTGAGGCGGAGCACTCGTAGAACGAGGGGTGGAGCGATAATACCCCGAGGTAGAGCACTCTTGAATTCACAAACGGCTAAAATACAACTTGAAGCAGAAACCGCGAGAAGGTAGCTGGAGTTCTGGCGTCTTTTTTCCACTGCACCCTTCAAAACGTAACATTCCGATATAGAAAGCAAATTGCACTACATGTATCAGGAAGCCAGTCTATAAAGCTAATTAATTAGCGATACCAGTATAAATTAAAGGGGAGGCAACACAATATAAAATGCTTAAATTTTCGATCCCTGACGATCGATTTCACACAGGGCTGAGTTGAAAAGGTTAAATTGTTGCGCTTGAAGTCTACTGATCTGTCGCCCTCTGTTGACTAACACGACTATAAAATTGTAAATCGCCCTTGGAAAAGTTCCACCGGTATGAGGCAGAAACATCACGAAGAACGCCAGGATGCGTACTTGCTGATTTAATAACTGTGATGTATGGTGTTGAAGTATAGGAAGAATGTATTGAATTTGAGGATTATTTAACGGACAAAAGTGAAATCATCAGGTGGCAAACCATATACATGTACAATGCACATGTATTTTACCCCTCTAGATCATTACACGCCATTCAGATTACAATTTTATTTTCATCCTAAATTAGTCAATAAAGTTCGTCCAATTCATTCACCATATTACAAAATGAAATAACAGTTCACTTGCACAAACGGTATTCATCTTTTATTTCCCAGATAAAAAAATTAAGAAAAGTAGAAAGTGATTGTGAATATTTACGAGTTGACTGGGAGCCAATGAAGATTCGCACACCTGTGGATTATATAAAAGTATACAACGTGTAGTTGGGGACGTACAGTAAATGCTTGTACTTCCCTTATCAGTTTATTTTCCCGGTTGTAGCATTTTGGTAATGTATCAGAATTAAGATTATTATAGTAAAATAGTTCACTCCAAATTTGTTAAATCAGTTATGCAAAACTCACGATTTCTCATCTACTCTCGTTTATCAGTATTTGTTCAGCCAATCAGATTTGTGAGTGAACTGAATATGCACGTCTATGACCCCTTGCTGTTTTGAGGTCAGGCATATGAACAATGTCGCAGTGATGAATGGATTCGAATATTTCTGTATGTAATTCCAAGCTGATTTCATGCGTATGAATTTTACATGGCAACCTACTAACATCGTAAGTAATATTACGTGTATATTCTGCGATCTGGAGGTTATGGTTTGAGTATATTCGGCAGTATTTGAAGAGCACTTTCACTTTAATCATGATAAACGGTTGAGCGGCGGCCGCGTCAGCCAGCCAAGTAGGCCCTATATTTGATTTTTGCCGTCACGCCGTGAGTTGGTTGGCAAGTCTCGCTTCAATGACCCGAATTCCATCGCACCAAATGCCATAGTTACTGAAAACACCAGACAGTCATGACCGTATAGAGAGCGACATGAGGGCAGACTTTTGAACGTAGCAATAAAACATGTTCTTCGAAAAATCGTCGATCAAAAGCGGCCCGATTTGTGGATTAACCGGCAAGGCCCTACACGTCATCAGTAATAATAAATTAAAAATAATAATTTAAATTTTAAATTTCCCCAAGAACTGTGGGGTCCGACGTCCTCTCTTCTCCCACGGGAGGAGCAGACGTCGGACCCCACAGTTTTGGGGGTAATTTTGAATAACGCAAGTTCCATAAGCACATGATATGTCATGTTTAAGAAATTTGATAAAAATGAGAGCCTGAAATGAATATATTGGTTTTTTTTAGGCCTGTGCAGTTACATGTACTGGTGTTGTTGTACCAGATAGTGATAGGTCATGACATGTTTTTGTTGGTGTCTCATTTAGCCATGAAAGAATAAAAATACAGGCACCTGTCTGCCCGTCTTCGAGGACAGACAAAAACAAATTTACACAGGCATTTACAATGTATGCCTGTTCAAAATTTTATGAAACTCCCATTCGTCACATAAAATCTTGTACTCTGGTGAAAAAGTTGTTACATTTCCTCCCAAATAACTGGGTACAGTAGAAAATGGTAGAAATTTGACCTCAGATAGTACCAAGGGGTGTCAGATGTGACCTCAGATAGCACCAAGGGTGTCAGTTTCAAAGATTTTTCAAGGAGAGGACAGGCAGTTTTTAACCTTCCCTTGGAATGGACAGGCATACTGCATCGTAGATGAAACCCTGAACCAGGACTGAATACCTGTTTCTTTAAAAAGAAATTTAAATAAATAACTACAAAAAATACCAAACGATGTTGCCACATGACCAAGCTGCTAACACAGTTAAAGTTGAATTCACGATTTCTTGAGTAGGTGCAGTTACGGTAGTTTGCTTGAGAAAAATTGTTGTAGGCCTACCTTCAAGGAGAGTGAGGGTAATGGAATTTGCTTGTGTTGGGGATTGAAGCCAGGAACACCAAAAGTGGTGGGTAGTGCCAAACAGTGTGACTCTCCGACCAGTCCAACCTGTAACTTTGTAAAGGAATCAGGGATGTTTGTTATTAACTGCGTCATCCACGTATAAAAACATTAATTACGCCTTTTACTTATAATGCCCAAAATAAATCATTCATCAATTTCCAGTCACTTTTAACCTAAAAAATCTAACTTGCGTACATGTATTGTAACCTTTTTCTTCTCCAAGTATTTCTTTTCCATAATTTGCTTTCCACATTGGTCTCTTGGAGAGTTTTTAGTGCAGGTTTTGATGCATGCCTGTTTATACTCGGACATATATACATACAGTACATACATGTACATGTACATACATACATGTACACAAACTATACATTGTACAGGTATCAGTAGGCTTAAACGTGTTCCATTTTTGGTCAAATACAGGTGCATGTATAATTTGTATTTTCAGTAATTTTCTCCGTCAGGAATAAGTGGATGATAAGTGGATAATGCTTTACAAATTGTGATGTCCACAGTATCTGTGCTGTACCAGAATTCAGAATCAATTATCATCATTTGGGCGTGTCTCCATTGTGTTTGTGCAAACATAAGTGATGTTATGACTAACGTAATCCGTGCACAGTAGCGTGCGTATGTATGATGATAGCCTTGCCTTCATTGATTGCTTTTAAATGGACACGTTAGTATTGAACTTGTTTTATACTGAGTATACATCTACAGATGAACCATATTTGCTCAGCGCTGTGTGGAAATGTTGTATTCATGGTGTTTGCTGTATGAAATTCACAGAAGCCTATTCAAATATGGCATCTGTACTTCGTAAATAAAAAGATTAGCACTCTTTCTCATTTATAATTGCATTGGTCGGACACCTGAAGGGCTGGGGGGTTAAAACCTACATGTAGGTGCAGCAGGTGATGGACATGTACATGTAAGTATCACACAAGGAAATTTATTCACTAGTTAAAAGCCCCATATTAAATATTTTTAGATACATGTACATGTATTTTATTTCATGGTATTAGAAATGTTCCTTGGCCCAGAGGTTTATTGTTAGAAGCAGAAAAAGTTTGACAAGGAATTTTTTCATTGGGATTTCCGAAATTGTCACCTTTAAGAGTTAATGTTGTTGCATGTACAGTATCAACTCTGCATGTGTCAGCAGTGGTCAGGTGAAAATTCCTGCTGTTACTTGTACATTACATGTACTTGTACATTACAAGCAATATTGCCATTCAAACGTTTGCCACAGGTCAGTCTAAACATACATGTACAAGTACATGTACATGTATGTGACTTTGTCATTTCCTCCATTTCCATAAAGTGGAAGAGTTTGTCATCAAGAGTTGTCACCAGTGATGTCCAACTGGGCATAAATCAAGCTCTTGACTTTATTATGGACTTTGTCACATACTGTTAATGTTGAAATATCAAGACCCTTGAAACTTTTGAAGTAATTTATCATGGATTAATTAAGTTCAGTGAAGTAGAAGCCATTTGATAAGGAGAAAGACTTCAAACTGCTGAAGCTGGTTCTTTTTTGGTCTGAGTGGTGAATGTTTCGGTATTTTCTCTTGCTCAGGATGAAACATTTGGTTTGAAAAGATTGAAAATTACCTGTCCATGTGTGGGTACATGTAAACTGTTTTGTGGCTTACATGTTCTGCTAAGTGCTCTGAACAGATTGTTACAGTGAAGTTATTAATCTAATATTTCCTGGGAAAGATCTTTTCATTTTTTTTGCACATTCATTTATTGATTGATCACACATTTATTTCATTTTAGAAGAGTTTCTCAAGGGAACAGGTTACATGTACAGTGTATTTGTTCATTTACATTCTACATGATTCACGGCTCTTGAACTTCTCAGTTGTTCAGATAAAACTGTAAGCCAGTAGATTCACGTTGAGTAATCCTTCTGTAGAAATCTTAGTAAAATGATACTTGACAGCAGGAAGGAAAGGCTTACAGTTGAGAGAAGTTGACTTGCTACTTGCCTTCAGCGCTAGATGCTGGGGACATTTATTTATAAAGTGATGCATGCAGATGAGAACACCTGTTAGACACGGTAGAATTAGGGGCAGTTCTTTCAACCAGAATTCTTACCGGTGAATGTGTCATGGTTGACGCCTGCTAATGGGGCTTGTTAACATTTGTGCTCTGAGGGACTGGGTACTTGATTGAGTAATTTGGCTGTATGGATCCCCTACATGTACATGTACATGTACGTGTCCATGTATGTCTTGTTTGTTCTTTCTTGCCCTATCATTTCTCCTCATAATTTACTCTCCAATCATTCCCCCTCCCACTCAAACACCCTTGATTCATTGGAGAGATATAGAAGCTTCCTCTGCCAGTGCACCGGCAAAAATAGTTCAGAGCTGGTGTTTAGACACTTCTTACATTATTCCTACTCATTCCTTTTTGATTCCTCAGAGAAATATGGGTTTTTGCCCAACAAGCAAATTACAAAATTAGGGAAACAATATATTGAAATGCAGATTTCGGTGATGTGAAATAAAAAAAAAAGAAAGAGCTACATGTAGTGCCTCCCAAGATGGTCTTAAAGTTAATGTCCATACATGTACACCTGCCTCTTTCAAACAGGTTAAGTTTCAGGGATCATACTGTACTAATTTGGTACTCAGCTACAGTACATGTAGGTCAGAGGGAATTCACGCACCCCTGTCAATGAATGAAATGGCGGTGACCCATAAGGAAGTCATCCAAGAGTGACTTGAATTGGACTGCCTCATGACATTCTCACCACAACCTCAGAAAAGTGGCTCCACACCAATTATGAGATCAACATCTTGGTTTGCAACCAGACTTTTGATCCGTAACATGGGTGTGTATGTTTCTTTGCAGATTAGGGACAGCATGTGAAGTGAGGAAACCAGTCATTCCGTCTACCAGCCAGTCCAATATTGAAGCGAAGCCAAAATGCCCTATGCAGGACCCGGCCAAGTTTGAGCATAATGCCGAGTGGTCTAAATTAGGAAGGGAAGAATTAGACATGCCAGGAGTTACTAGTGGACCTGAGCCAGAGGTGTCCTCACTGCCAAGTTCTTGGAGTTGACCTATACAGTTCAGCAGGTAGTCAAGGGGTCAGACAACAATGGTTTGGGGTCACTGGATCATTCACAGTGCCTTGTTAATATGTGGTAAGTGTAGCATTGGATTTTATCCAAAGGTACTTGTTATGTACTACATTACTGTACACTCTAAAAAAAAGCACTCGGTGTACATTTAAATGTATGCACAGCTGCAGTTGTGTGTTGATTGATGTACATGTACATGTAGGCCAACATGTAATAGTAATATTAATGGGTGTACATGTACATGTAAAAAGAGCGTACATGGATCAACCATTGCAGGTGGTCAAGGCACTACCCGGTAGGTCACTATTACCCCTGCTCACTGAAATTACATCCCTAAAACCATTTCGGCACCCTGAGAAGTATAAAGCTGCCATTTCAGATGTAAATGGCTAATCATTTACCACATCCATTTACATGTACATTTATGTTCTCATACAGGTACATGTACAGGTAGGTATCCAGTACTCCTGGGTGGAGAAAGACAAATTTAATTGACTTGCCCAGGTGGTTCAGTCGGAACCCTTGACCCTGTGAACTTTAAACCCTAATCATTAGACCACATAATTCCATAAAGTTACATGTACAGAAAGCTATTCCATAGGCTTTACAACATTGCTTCAGGTTTGAAATGGTCATCTTTGAATGTAGATATGTAGAGATTTATATTTGTGTACTTGTCTAAACAACACAAGATTTTGAGTCCCTTCTGGCAAAGTACGGTAGGCTTGACGGACAATTAGGCAGTACATATGCAGTGTTCTTCATCATGAGTTTTAGCAGGGTGGGCCTCCCTGCCAAAAGTTTAGACTGCCCCGCTAAGTTTTGCCACCCCGCCAAAATTCTCACTGCCCTGCTATTTTTTCTATTGGATTTTCCCTGTTCTCCACCATCTTCACAGTTTATGCAAGGAAGTCTACCGCACATTATGGAACGAACATGATGAGTTTGATACATGTATGTTTATTCAGCACTACAAAAAGCACTTTGCGCCGTTAGTGATTAAAGCTACGGTAGCTAGACACGGTACGAAAGCACAAAATTCTGGATTGATTCCAATCTCTTGGTCATAGTATTTTCATTTTGTAGCATCAGGAATCAATACCTCTAATGTGTTGTTTTTCCTCGAAAATACAGCCAATTTCCTACGTGTAGTTCCGGATTTTTCCTAGATTTGGATCGCTTGAAATAAAACTTCTTTTCTTCTGCTTTTGAAACTACTTCTTATGTGTTCTACATTATGAAAGAAATTCAGGTGAAAGGTAAGCTTCTTGTACAAAACTTTTGTTTCAGAAAACATCCAGAAAAGAAATTTGTTGCCAGCTAGATTTCCGTTTCGAACTTCGACATTTTTGAACGGTTTGTCAAAAATTGACCAAAAATTATAGGTTGATAGGTCATTCTGTACGTGTGATTCCAATTACTTGTTTCTTACGCAACAGTCCTATAAAGATTTGCGTATAATGTATGTTTATTCAAATGAATTTTGGAGGTTTTTTTTTTGTAAATTGGCCAAAAGCTAAATGCAGATTTTTCCTAGTTGTGGATTACACTGTAAGTTCACGCACGTAATTACGAACTCAACTACACGGACATAACAGGAATGTATGTGATGTAATGGGTTTGTCAGCTTTGGGCAAGTTCGAGCCAGGACTATAGACTTTGGCAATAGACCGACTAACAGCACTTGAACGGTGTATGGTCAGACATGTCTAGTCGACCATTTGGGACCAGGCTCAGGTGTATGGTTGCACCGCTGGTTACCAATAACATGTTTCATTTATCCTTACAGAGGGAACCATTCACATGAAAATAATTGTACGAGATTTCAGTGACCTTGTACGCTATGAGAATCGCAGCCTACGCTGAAATTAAAGTAAAATTGAGATTAAAAAAATAGGCCGACTGGGGTTGTACAAGTGTAACTTAATTAATAGCGCATGTGTATACGAGTCCTACTGTTAATGTACACATGGACACATTGTACATGTAGCTCTGTAGCAT